TTAAAGGAGTTTCGAACAGTTCGAATGAATTATCAGTGACGGCTAAGCCATTTTTCCCTGGGCCAGAACCTCGCGCTCAATCGGCTGGGTCAGGAGGAATATCGCAAGTTCTAATCCAGTAATTAAATCTTGTGTTTCAGACTTTAACTTTCAGAGTGAAGTTTTATTATGTACGGCTGTTATTAAAGTGTTAGATTCATCGGGTGAATACCAATTGTGTAGATCCCTCCTTGACCCTGGCAGTCAAGCTAGCCTGATTTCAGAAGACTGCGTACAAAGGCTAGGGTTAGCAAGAAGAAATGCCAAAGTTTTTATTTCATGTTTAGGGTCTTTGGATACGAAAACTAATGGGATTACGGAAATAAACTTCGTTCCGCATTTTCCGGTGAAAGTGTCATTTAAAACACCAGTATTTATCATCAATAGAATTATTGGAACTTTGCCGCATTTTACATTGGATAAGAAGTACGTTGAGGAATATAATGATTTAATGTTAGCAGATCCAACATTTTACAAAAGTGGGCCTGTTGATATACTTTTAAGCGTAGATATTGCCTTACCTCTTTTAAAGGGAGAAATAATTAAATGCGAAGAAGGTAAACCGGTAGCTTCTCGTTCTGAACTAGGATGGATTATTTCAGGTAGTGTGAATAATTCAACAGAAATTAATCCTACTATCTATGTTAATAATATACAAGTGGAAACTGATCAGATACTGTCTGACTTTTGGAAATTGGATGCTGTACCTACGTTTGACATGCTTACTAAATCGGAGAGAGCATGTGAAGATTACTTCAAATCTACATATACGAGAGAGGAAAGTGGGGTATATACTGTGAAATTACCGTTTCACTCTCCGCCTTCTCAGCTTGGAGATTCCAGACAATTAGCTATGCGTAGATTCCAATCTTTAGAAAATTCACTTCTAAAAAGGCCTCAGATATATGAACAGTATAAGGATTTCATGAAGGAATACCTTGAGCTGAGACATATGGAGGGAGTGCCTGAGGGAGAGATTCTTATTGACTCTACGTATTACATGCCTCATCATGCCGTATTAAAGGAATCAAGTACTACGACTAAACTGAGAGTTGTTTTCGATGCTTCAGCTAAAACGACATCGGGTCTTTCGTTGAATGATATTTTGATGGTTGGGCCAAGAGTTCAGCAAGAGCTGTTTCCAATTCTTCTACGGTTTAGAACTCACAAAATTGCAGTATGTGCCGATGTAGAGAGAGAAGATGTTCAGACAAATTCGTGTCCACCCAGAAGATACAAGTTGGCAACGAATGCTTTGGAGGGATAGTCCTAGTGAGCCCTTGAGTACATTTAGATTAGTGACAGTTACATATGGGACTGCCTGTGCGCCATATTTGTCTACTAGAGTAATGAAACAACTTGCATTAGATGAACAAGTGAGATTTCCTTTAGCATCAAAAATTGCCCTTCGTGATTTTTATGTTGATGATTTGCTTTCAGGGGCACAAAGTGAAGAGGAAGCGAATGTTCTAGTTCAGCAGTTGAATGAAATGATGAAAAGGGGTGGATTTCGCTTAAGGAAGTGGATTTCAAACAATTCAGCTATTTTAGAGAATATTCCCGAGTGCTTACGAGAATCCAGTATTTCTCTTGAAATAAACAGTGACAAGAAAGTAAAAGTATTGGAAATTAATTGGAACAACTCTAGTGATACGTTTAATTTTTCGGTATGCATAAGTGATAAAGAGTTTACTAAGAGGACTATTTTATCAGAAGTAGCCAAAATCTTTGATCCAATGGGATGGTTAGCGCCAACAATAATATACGCGAAAATATTATTACAAGAGTTATGGAACTTACAGCTGGGTTGGGATGAACTCGTTGATAAGAGAATAAGTAGAAAATGGAAGCGTTTCTATCTAGAATTACCCTTACTTTCAAGCTTACAATTTCCGAGGTATGTCTTGAGTCCGAAGGCAGTAGTGATAGATATCCATGCTTTCTGCGACGCTTCAGAAAAGGCTTATTGTGCAGTCATCTATCTCCGTACAATCGACCTTGATTCGTCAGTCAAAGTCAGCCTTCTGACATCGAAAACCAGAGTAGCGCCCTTAAAAACCCAGTCTCTTCCGAGACTAGAGTTGTGTGCTGCGTTACTTTTAGCAAACCTCTTAAATGCAGTATTATCATGCATAGAACTGCCTATTAACAATATTTACGCATGGACCGACTCGCGGGTTACATTGGCATGGGTTTCGTCCAAACCTCGCCGTTGGCTACCTTTTGTGGCAAATCGAGTTGCAAAAATCCAGGAAGCTGTTCCAGGTATTCAATGGAATTATGTTGCTGGGAAAGAAAATCCTGCAGACTGTGGGACCAGAGGTTTTATTCCATCAGAATTCTTACAATGTGAGTTATGGATGAAGGGACCGCAGTGGTTAAACGAATCCGTAATTCATGTACAGCAAAATTCAAGTGTAGAATTAGAGGGTGAGGTTATGTTGAAGGAATTGAAAAAGAGTTTCAGTTCAAATATTTCCAAATTTGAAGAGCCTAGTGTGTTTTCAAGATTTTCATCATGGTTAAAGTATGTTGAGTGTTAGCGTGGTGTTTAAGATTTAGAAATAATTGTAGCAAGTTACCTACAGAGCGTATAAAGGGTTATTTATCTACTGAAGAATTCTGTGAAGTTACTTCTATGATTGTTAGGATTGTGCAAAGAGCCGAATTTCCAGAATTATTCTGTTTAGAATCTGGTAAACCCTTGAAGACATCAAGTAAATTACTGTCTTTAAGTCCTTTCTTGGATTCCGTGGGAGTAATGCGTATAGGCGGGGAAGGCTCAGAAACTCTGCAGTTTCAAATAATCAGAAACATCCTATGATTTTAATAAGAATCACAATATTACGCGTTTAATTATTAAGCATTATCATGACGCGTATCTTCACGCAGGTACGCAGCTACTCACTTCTGTCATACGACATAGATTTTGGATTGTGAATGCTAGAGATATTATAAGAAAGTGTATAAACCAATGTGTTATCTGCCGTAGAGTTAGAGCGCAAACTGCAACTCAGCTAATGGCAGATTTACCCGCTTCAAGAGTTACTCAAAGTAGAGCTTTTTCTCGTGTAGGGATTGATTTAGCAGGACCATTTAACGTTAAATATCGTCCTGGTAGAGGAGTCAAAATCTTTAAGTGTTACGTATGTCTATTTATTTGTTTTACTACAAGAGCAATACACTTAGAATTAGTTGGAGATCTTTTAACAAAATCATTCCTCGCGACGCTTAAGCGGTTTATAGCTCGTAGAGGCAAACCGTGTGAAATTCACAGTGATTGTGCAACGAATTTTATAGGAGCTAATAAAGAATTAAGGAAAGCCTTTTCTATTGTTCAACGTGATGAACAGCTACAGGGTTATATTTCTTCAGAAAATATTAAATGGTTGTTTAATCCTCCCTCTGCCCCTCATTTTGGAGGGCTTTGGGAAGCGGGTATCAAGTCTATGAAACATCACTTAAAAAGATGTTTAGGAACACTTATTTTAACATACGAGGAATTTTTGACATTAATAACCCAAATTGAATCCTGTCTTAATTCTAGGCCTTTAGTACCAGCTTCAAGTGATTGTAGCGACTTGGAGGCGATAACACCAGGACACTTTTTAACCGGAGCGGCTTTAAGCGCTATTCCAGAATCTAACCAAATTCAAGAAACCATGAGCTGCAGTGACCGTTGGAGGAACGTGCAAAGGTTATTTCAACATTTCTGGAAGATCGATGGAGCAGTGAGTATTTATCTAGGATTGCAGCAGAGACCCAAGTGGTGCAAGGTACAACAAGATCTGAAGATTGGTGATATGGTTCTTATTAAGAACGAAAATCTACCTCCGCTACGTTGGAAATTAGGTAGAATTATTAAAGTGCATCCTGGTCTTGGATGAGAGAAAGTTCGAGTGAGTGGTGAGTTTACGCACTTCCTAATGGTGAAATAAAACGACCTATAGCAAAGCTATGCGCTTTGCCATTTAATTCCTTGATTTAGAAGACTTTAATTTTTATTTTTCAGGTTTATTGCAGTTCAAACAGTTTAAATTTATTGTTTGAACCCCCTTGGGACTTCAAGGCTGGGGGTATGTTCGATGTTATGCAAATTGTATTTCTTTCTTTGTACCGAGGAGCGGCGCAGACGCAAATTTGTTAGGTTTTTAAAGCTCGCGGTTAGAGCTTCGAGGTTGCTGTGAATTACTGGAGTTTCAACTAAGCGGAGGTTCTTCTGAGTTTGTGTTGGTAAGCCGCCACTGAAGTCGGAGTTTGTGTGGTCTTCGCCGTTCCTCTTTGCCTAACTTACTATTTGAAAGTCAATAAAGAAGTTTCGGTCAACGTCATGAGTCTGAGGTTTTTTGGGTTCTATACTGAAGTAATATCAAGTCAATTTACAGTCCACTATATTTAAACAACGGAACGTACACCTCAGATTGTTAGTTCTTCATACAAAACCAGTCATCAAGTACTAAAGGTAAATTTATGTGTTTATATTCATTGTTAGTTAAGCACTGGAGACAATTAACCTACATGTGTTGTCTGTACCTACCCTAAAGTATTACATGTCAGTATATGTTAAAGACAAAAAATAAACACATGCATAAACAAAAAAGGGAGTAATATGAAATCAAAAATCCTGGATTGAGTAGTTTTTGGCCAGCTGTATATTCCATTAAATAAATTAAAACAATTAAATCATATACTGGCATTAATAAAATACTTTATTTATTTTGGAGTAAGGTGATTGCCATGCAAGTTTTCATTGTACTTACTATTGAAGTATACATTGTGTTGCTATAGTTATTCACAGTAAACAGATTGTATACAGATTTGTATGTCAGAAAATATATATTTTTGACATTAGTTTAAAGAACACAATGCTTATAATTTATTAATCTTCAGTTTGACTTATAAAATGCTAATCAGTATTCTAAATTTGAAAGGTTGCTTATTTTTAACTTTTTAATTTTCAGAGATGCTTGGGGCCGCAGATGCACTCAAGTAGTTGCTATGGATGCTAAGCATTTCCGAAATCCTGCTGAACAATTTAAAGAAATGTACATTACCAGAGAACTGAATAAGGTTGTATACTTGTAGTATTAAATGAAATGCTTTAGTTTTCATGCTTATGTTTCTTATCTATCCTCCCCAGTTTTATGACAGTATCTCTTTTTTTTTTTTTAAATAACAGGAATTTTCTATTAATCTGCTTTCAGAAATTTTTAAAATTGCTGATTGAAACTCTTGCCTTTCAAATGTAATTACTGAATGTATATGATACAGTAATTTATTAACCTATCAAAAACTTACTGCATACAACTGGTGGCCATAATTAAACTGACAGTGCTCACAGTGTTCTGTAGCACGATCTATTTGCGAGAACGATGTCACATTTTGTAGGAAGATTAAACAAGATGGGGGGCGAAGGATTTCGCAGAAAAAAAAATTAGTTCCAAATGTCACCGCTTGGGAAATATTTGGCGCTGCGCAATAGAAAATAGAGCGTTAACAAATGCAAATCAATACGGAAATTATCTTTTATTTTGCATTCAAATGTGGTTCAATGTGGCTGCCGTTGTTGTGGACCACACATTGCATTCTGTGCACAGTATGCACAACAGTAGAAAGTAACATGTCTGCAGGAATTTCCTGTACAGTCCGTGATATGTTATCCTTCAACGTAGCCAGGTCCTGGACCACTCCTTGATAGACCTTGGACTTAAGGTAACCCCATAGCCAGAAGTCACATGGGGTAAAATCAGACAACCGAGGTGGCCATGCAGTTGGAAAGTAGCGGCTAATGACTCTTTCTTTTGTGAATTTCTGTCGTAGCATCTGTTGACCTGTACAGCAACATGTGGAGTGCATGAAAATGATTTTCCCCATGCCATTGCTGAAGTGCCGGAATGACAAAGCTGTTCAACATGTGGTGATATTTCTCTCCGGTAACAGAACAGGTTTCCGGTCCAGTCAGGGTAAAGTTCTCATAGAAGAATGGACCTACGATAAATTCCGCTGTGAACCTACACCAAACAGTTACCTTTGGTGAATATAAGGGAATCGCTGTGACTGCATGTGGTGATTTGTCATCCCAAATTCAGCAGTTCTGGGTATTCACTGTTCCATTCAGGTAAAAGTGGGCCTCGTCTCCCCATGAGATTTTCCACGGCCAAGCATCATCCACCTCCATTCTGGCAAGAAAGGTGAGAGCAGAAGTCAATCGCTTATCATGGTCGTGGTACAATAACTCCTGTACACGGCTGATCTTGCACGGATAGAAGTTGATAATTTTTCGTAAGATTTTCCATACCATAATGTAAGGCATATCCATATTCCATAAGGCATATCCATAATAAAAGGTACTTTTATTCCATATTAATTTGCATTTGTTAACAGTCTATTTTCTATTACACAGCGCCAAATATTCCCCTAGCGGTGACTTTTGGAACTAATTTTTTTTTTCGCAGAATCCTTCGTACCCCGTCTTGTTTAATCTTCCTACAAAATGTAAGGTCATTCTTGTAAATAGATCGCGCTATAGAACACTGTGAACACTGTCAGTTTATGGCCATCCGGTATATAACACATACATAAAATAACACAAAATCCTATTTTCATTTATAAAACCTCACAAATATAATTTATCATTCATTATCTTAAATTTGCCTAGACTTATTTTTCATGTTTCCTAAAAGGACCTGTAAACTAATGTAAGAATTTAAAATTGAAAAGGTAACAATTTTGATAATCTTAAAGTTTCAACATAATTTAAGTTGCCTCTCAGTAGGTTCCATCTGCATGGATAAAGCTATTTTTAACTGTTTTCATAAAATGGTTAAGAGCATTCGGGAACTAATATGCAATTCAAGAATGATGACTTCTGAGCAAATTAGCATAAAGCTGTTTTATACATAAATTCAGACATTTCTTCATCTCTAAGAATTTAGTTTATAGCAGTAAATTTAATTCAATAAACTCTGGTGAAAACAAAATTTGCTAAGAACAGAATTTTGGTTCGAACTTTTATTCTATACCTTAAAAATATTTTTCCCCGAATTGAAGCAGAAATGCATTTTCAGTATTTTTGAAAGCTGTCTTTTCATATTTAATGTAGAAAATTACTTTTTGATTTCATAATTTATGAAAAAATGTTTTAAAAATTTGTTAAATTTTACTGCTACGTATTGAAACAAACATTAAATTACTGAACTTACTTTACAGGCTTTCTGTGGATTTTATGAAAATGCTTTGCCAGAAAATTTACCTGCTGTAGCCACAGGCAACTGGGGATGTGGTGCCTTTAATGGCAATCCAAGCTTAAAATTTCTAATTCAGCTAATGGCTGCATCACAAGCTGGACGAAGCATGCTCTATTTTACATTTGGAAATGAAAATTTAAAAAAAGAATTGAAAAATATTTATCACTTTGTTAAAGGCAAAAGTCTTTCAGTAGGTAAGATATCAGTAATTAGTTATTATTTAAGACTGTAAATCATACAAAGATTAGAAAAAAGGGCTTTGTTGATTAGTATTCAATAAGTTATCCTGTTTTACATATCTGTTGATTTAGTTTCTTTATTATGATATCCGAATTATTATGATATTTATTATCCGAAATCTGGACTTCCACTATCCGGAACTGGATCTCAAAAGCACCAACAACGTTTTTCTCGCAAAGCTTTACGCATGCACATTTGATTCCCCCCTCTGCGCATCATGAAACATATGGAGATTCCGATTCTTAATTTCACTTCGACACTAAATAAAATACCTTTGTTGTTGAAGAAACAGTCATTTTAGCATAAATTTGTACGATCAGTAATTTGGGCTCCGTTGCTGCATATTTACTTGCCACACATCTCAAACTGAAGCATTCCACATAAATACATCGTTGATCTGATGTCAACCTGGTGAGTCATTATTTATTATACTTTCCTTTCATCACCGCATGTTTATCAAAATATAGCAACTTGAGTAAGTGATGCTTGAACAATTTTTTTATGTTATTAATTGAATAATAAAGGAGTATGGTAACCTTTTATGTTGACATTGCGCTTGGCGATGATTACAGATTTAAGTTAAATGCGGTAAGAAAAGTTGACGAGGAAAAATTTACCAAAAATTTTTCCCATATGCTAAAAATAGATTTTGTTGATGATACTCATAGACCCAAAGATTACATTTAGGGCTATTTGAATTAAGAATAACTAATTTGATATTCACATAAAATCAAGACCAATGCCAGGGCTCGTATAGCCGCACTGAGTCGCAGAATTTAGAACCCACAGAGATTGCATCAGGCGGTAAGATATCTAGCACCGGCCCTCAATAAGTATATGTGGGAATTTTTATTCAAAACTCTGATAAGCCTTAAGCATGTGCAAGAAATAGACATAAGTATAATAAATAACTAAACTAGTACAATTCAGTCTTAATTGTCTCAAGCAAGATAAAATTTATGTTTGTTGTTAAGCAAGATTAAGTTGTTAAGCATTGTTAAGCAAGATAAAATTTAATGGAACAACTTATTGTTAGTCGCCAAACTCATAATGCATAGCCAAATATGTATAATGAAGGATAGCTAAATTTGATGATGATAGTCACTAATTTTAAAGGTTTTCGGATATATTAAAATAAAGGTGAAATTTTCCAATTAACAGAGTTTGTAAAGTAATGTGGAGAAGCGGTAATAAATGAAGATGATATAAAAGAAGTTTTTCATTGTGATGGCAATGCTTCTCAATAATCAATGAATTAATGAATGGCAAAATTTGTAGTATGGTTCTAGATCCGTAAAATATTTCTACCGTTTAGTGAAGAAAGTGACAGAAGAAGTCACTGAAAACGAGAAAATTTTGATTGACAAGTTAGTTGGAATTGCTCCAAAATAGCAGTTCCAAGGACTTCAACAACTGTAACTGAAAAAGAGATTATGTCTGTCTATGGAATTAAAAGAGAAAGTATTATCACAAAAAACCAAAGCAACGTAAACAACATACATTGAAAGAAATGTTTAAATAAGGTAAACAAATAAATATTAAGCTTTGTTTTGTAATTTTGATACCCTTTAGATCATAAATATTTCATGATTTCATAAATCCACGATTTCATATTTTAAATTTGATAATTTCTACACATCATCTTACTAGATTTAAACTAATGATCTAGTATCCAGAAAAATCCGGAATTGCCAAAGTCCCAACGAGTCTGGATTTCAGACTTTGTACTGTATTTACATGTTTCCACCATACACTTTTGGCGGTTTTGATTACATCTGTTTTCCCCCTCCAAGAAAAAATTAAAAATTTATGATCAATCTTAAGTAATGAAGCAACTTCTATTTTTCAAGTCCTTCGGGAAAAGTTTTATCATCAGGGTAGCCTGCAAAAGCTTAATTCTGTGTTTTTTTTCTAGTGTTTTTTTTCTGTCCAGTTCATTTTGATATCAACATATTCACCTTCATAACTTTATACAGGAATCTGCATCCAGGATTAGTAGCCATATTTTAGTTATAAAAATTAGCACCTGTTTAATTACATATAATAATATAACTGCATAATCTTAAAAGAAAAATGAGACTTGTCATTTAAAATATGAGAAATTCAGGAGAGAATTAGCATTATCCAACTATAGAAAACAATTGCAATTTTTTAACAATTTTACGTAACAGTTCAATTTATGGAACTAGCTTATAATTGGGGGGGGGGGAGGACTCTATACAAAGCTAAACTATATGACAAGATTTAATAATGAAATTTCAGTTAAAATACAGAAAATAAATAATAACATATTTATTACATTTATACAAAGTACTTTACAGTATTAAAAAAAAGAAACAAGAAAAAAGATTTATGCTTGTTAATGAATTAATAAAATTATGTTTGATTTTTCTTTTGTCTCTTTTCATTAATGTCTGAATCCAGTTCTCTTAACTGAGTTTGTTTTTCACAAATAGTTTTTAACATTTCATTAGATTTATTTAAAAGGTTGTAACTTCGGCCTTTTCAGCAATTTACTTTATTTTCAAGCACTTTAACTTGTCTTTCTAAGAGAGTTTTCTTTCCTTTAAGAGAAATCAATTCATCTGGTAATATATATATATTTTTTTTATTTTGATTTTTTTCCACCCTGCTCTTCCAAATGTAACCAATACTGTGAATGAGCTGATGAAGTTCATCTCATCGCTCTCATCTCTTTTATAAATGACACACTGTGGATCCCAACAGCATGTTTCACATAATCACAAACTATGCACTGGGCAATGTATGAATTTTCCCTCCAAATTTTCTGTTTCTAGATTTTTATTGATACTAAATCCTTGTTCAACAAAGGCTGCCCATGGGAAAGAATAAAAGTCATTTTAAATGTTTCCCATAAGTACTTTTTTGTTAATGAATGTCTGCAAAAAATTATCTAATCTCATTTTTTTCATATCATAGGTTTTCTTGTTTTCGTAAAATATGGCTGGATGACATTTTCAATGAAATCGGAATATTCTGAAATAATATTATCACATTCTTCTGCAACGTTACCTTATTGGAAAAATGCATCAATGCACTTTTCATTTTTCTGTATGCTTTCGTGCCACATACTTTGGAGCTATAGAAATAGCATTTTGAAACATTGAACCTCCATCAGCTTTTCAAGTAGATATAAATAAAAGTTTAATAGTTGCGTTTAAGAGAAAGATAATCTTTTTCAATCATTTCTTTTTTAGTGTATAGTTCTTGCAAGAGTTTTATCAGCTCTAAATCCTAACACTAATATTGCTTATTTCAGTAATAATACCTTTCTCTCAGAAAAATTAAAGTTCCACAAATATTTCAATGACGAACTAATTTTTAGCATGTACTCTTTTATAATTTTGAAATGTTGCAAAAGTTGCTCTACTAATTTGTGTATATCAAAAGAAGAAAAAAAAAAAAGAGGGAGGGGACAAGTGGTTAGTTACTTTAATACAGTTCCAAAAAGGATTTGACAAATTCAGCCACCAAAAAAAATTTATAGGCATTAATTTGTCTTAATTAATTTGACATTAATTGCATCTGTTATTATTTCATATGATTTACAAGTTACTTTTGCATACTTAACTAGCTGGACATAACCTTTTATATCTTCTCAAATTTCAATAAAAAATAGTAATTTAATTGCAAACATACTGGTGCATTCTCTAGCCACCAATGTTTATAAAATTTCAACGGCAAAGTCTTATGCACACTCACTGCTAAATCTTCTTGACATACTAGAGAATCTTTGAATAGATAGTACAGTAATCTTAAAATAGAAGGTCTATCCCAACAATGCAACTACCAATAGATATACATTCAATGCTTTATTCTTTTTTCAATTTATTTTGGAGGGTTTCATCATAAAGTTTCCGATTTATGGCTGGCCCATTTGTACTTATTTGTAACAGTTTTTTTATATCTAGTTTTTTAACTACCATTTGGAAACTTTCAAAAATATTAGCAGCTATTGCATGTCTATAAAAACAGATGTCAAAAATTGAATTACAACTTTACTTTGGTCAGACTGCCAATATCTGATATGCAAATCTAGCTTTTTTAAAATTTGTTTTATGCAAAGTATCATCAAATAACAAGGTAAAATGGGATAGCTTTTTAAAAAAAGCATCTTGCTACAACACTGTCAGGGAACATACGTACTTGAAAAACGTTTGCCCATGTCACTAGATCTGTAAGAGCAATGGCTGTTACCACTTTCAAACACCACACAATTTCAGCATCCAAAACATCTTTTGAAGTTCCTACAACGTTATCTAAGGTATCTGAATTTTGCAAAGCACAAATAATACTTGGGGAACTGAACGATAGCTTTTTATACCACTAGCAGCTATATTTTTCCCTTTTAGAAATTTTTTATGCTTGGCACCTAGAAATAATCAGAACTTATTGTCCATTTATTTATTTTCCCATTCTTATTAATATTTAAGTAATTTAACTTAAATCAAAATTCCGAACATCTTTTAAATTTTAATTATGTGACAGTTTTTTTAACAGATATTGAAAAGTAATTTAAGTAAATATAAGTAAAAAGAAGAACATTTCTGAAATCAGTAGGTGAGAAATTTCTACATACAGTCATCCTATACAGTAAAAGCTTAACCCACTGGCATGCTCGTGAATTGCCTTCCTGATACCTAAAAATTCTGCACAGTCGAGCACAACTGGAAAGGGGGGGATAGATTGTGGCCATTTTTTAGATTTTTCGGCTAAATAATGTTTTTAACATTTTTGATATGTGAGTTAAATGTAATTTTTAAAAATATTTCTGCATCTTCCATAACATCACAATATTTAGAATACAAAATATCATGAAGATCTTAATATTGATAGGAAAACAAATGTTGGTCTTGATTAAAAAGAAGCAAAAAACAATGACCTGTAGCCCAATTATCACCATAAACGTATTAAAATGGCCCAATGAAATTGA